ACTTCCTTATAAATTACCCAGTTCCAGGTATTTTTGTTATAAGCAACAAAAATAGACTAATACACCCTAATAAATTCCCTCTTATATTTATATATCTATATCTGTTTTTTTTTACCTATATCTATCTCCTATTGGTTCTGTTTCTCTGGAGAACCCTGACTAAAATAGGATTGATTTTAATGATTGAGCTAAGATTATATTTGATAAATATTATTCCAAAAATTACATAACAGTATACTATAGAAATTAATTTGATGGTAGAATTTTAGTAATTTATAACTATTTTTATCACTTCATGTGTAGACTACTTAAGATCTAAAGCAGATGACTTTTTAAGTTTTAAAAAGAATTATAAAACTTATAATTATAAGTTATAATTATAATTTATAATTATATTTATATAGAAGAATTATATTTTATAGAAATACTTGTTAACTTGTGATTTAGAAAAGAACTTAGAAATGCCAATTATAATTTTTAGGACAGGTCATAACTCACCATTCCAAATCCTGCTCCAGGTTGTCCAACGGATGAGGCCCCGGCAACAGGAGGAACCGAACTGGTTGGAGGTACAGCTCCTTGCTGCACATGTGCGCACACGTGCACACACACACACACACACACACAAAACAACAAATAAACAAAAAGAACCAACATAATTTGGTTTTAAAATGACAAGATATAATTTAAAAATGCATGCATCTCAAGTATGTATGTGTGGATATGTAAAGAAATCTCAAATTGCAGTTCTAAATTAAAAAATAATAATGGCTCTAGCACCATCCCAATGATACAGACATGGTTACTGACTTGATGTTCGCTGTTGTGCTATTTGGACTTGGTGGCTTGCAGCTTACTCACAGCATCAGGCTTCCTCTCTATGTCCTTGTACCCACCCTCACTGTAAATAAGTCACACTTCTCTAAGCTTGTCTTTTCCTATCATCACATTCTCTGACAGATATTGGGTTAGACATCTGAGGACCATGCTTTCATTTTCATTTCAATGCTTGGTTCCCACCCCCCCATTTTTATATTAGTTCTTTCTATTACACTTGCTTCTTTCTAACTTTTGACTGTGGTACATATGCAAAAGGACTAAAATTAATTCTAAGTATTAGAAAGCATTCAGAAGACTGCACATAATATGGCATGATATTCCATTTCAGGTTTAGGTCTAATAATTTTCAGTCATATACCAAAACACCCTAATACTTCTCTTTTGTTTAGAATCAACCCTGCTGAAATCCCTTAAATTTAAATTAACCATTAGAATCAACCCTAATTTAAAAAGAAAATACCATAGAAGATGTCAGCAAAAATGATGAAGAAATCCCAAAATACTCCCCCATCCATAAAAACAGTGAAAAACAGGAAAAAATACTGTTAATTTTGTTTTTAACTCTGGAAACTAACGAAAAGCTTCCAGCAATCCAGAAAGTACTTATTCAAGAAAATTAGCTGGATCTTGGTAAGAATAGTGAGCTTTGTAGCATTTTAATTATCCTAGTCCCATCCTCTGTTCTCCAGTTCAGCTGTAGCCTTGAAAATAACATCACACATCGCCAGTAAAAGTACCAGAGGGAGCAGAATATATTTAAGTATTTGTTTTGTCCTGTCTGGGTGGCTCCCTGGAAAGACTGGCTCAAAAGGCTTGTCTTTGTCTCACCTAACAGGGAATGCACCTAGTACTAAAGTCATTACCTGAAAACATTTATAAAACATGTTTATAGGCAAATGTATTAGTTGTTGCTGTTAAGGCAGTGAATAACAATTGGGGAAAATAGTAGACTAAACAAAAAGCTTGGGAGGAAAGGCTGGAGAATGAGATGCTTTGGGGATTAAGGGTTTGAAAAGCTCAGACATACTTCTGGGTATCTTTCAGAAGGCCATGCACAAGCCCAGGGCTGTGCACATGCTCAGGAAAGACTTGAGAAGGGCTCAAAATTCCCACCTTTGGCAAACCTTGAGTTTCTGCACAAGCAGAAAGTGAAGGCTAACGGAGAGTTGTAAACTGCATGGATGAATTTGAAGACATGCCCCAACACACACAGAGCCTGTTTCCAAACACTGGGAGATATTCTTGGTTCCAGGAGTTTAAAAAATATCTGTCCAATCATTAGCTGACCACTTAGCTAAAGGAACAGAGACTTTGGTGGTCACACATGACAAAGAACACAGACTTTACAGAATCAGCTCAGGTCACTAAACAAACAATTATAAAAAGTAGCAGTAAACAGCCCTAGGGAAAGGGTAAAATCTGATTTGTAGTTACCACACTAGAATATTCAAAATGTTCAGATTTCAACAAAAAATTACAAGACATACAAAGAAACAAGATTGCATGGTCCATACTCAAGAGAAAAATGTGAAATGAATAACCTAAACTCCTACCTTAAGAAACTAGAAAAAAGAGCAAACTAAACCCAAAGTAAGCAGAGGAAAGAAATAATAAAGATTAAAGTGGAGATAAATAAAATGAAAAACAGAAAAACAAAAGAGGAAATTAAAGAAACAAAAAGTTGACTCTTTGAAAAGATCAATACTACCCCCACAGACATGTACAATAAACTATGTTTCAATAAAGAATAAATAAGTAAAGAGATCAATACAATTGACAAACTTTTAGCTAGACAAACCCAGAATTAAACAGAGAAATTCAAGTGAACAAAATCAGAAAAGGAAGTGGGGACATTACTACCAAACTTTCAGAAATAAAAAGATTATAAGGAAATACTGAGTAATCATATGCCAAAACATTATATAACCTAGTTAAAATGGTCAAATTCCTAGAAAGACACAAACTATCAAAATGGACTCAACAGAAATAAAAAATCTGAATAGAAGTATAACAATAAATTAATCAGTAATAAAAAAAAAAACCCTTCTATCAAAGAAAACCCCAGAACCAGATGGCTTCACTGGTAAATTCTACCAAACAGATATAGAAGATTTAGTATCGATCCTTCTGCTATTTCATGTGATTTGTTGTACTACCTCTTCTCACCTGACTGACACACTTCTTTCCAGGCCAGGACTTTCCTAGAGAGTGGTTATCTTGATAGGAATAAACTGGATACAGGTCAGACAAGAGCCACACGGGCACCTGCCAGTGTAAACAAGTTTCCTGTGAGAGGGACACCTTGTCATGGGTCAGACACTTAGGCATTAGGCCATCCACCAGGATAAAGAAGTATGCTGTGAAAGGCCCACTGCAAACTATCCACTCCACAACTATCTCCCCTGCAGTCCCACCAGGGTAGGGCTACAGTTTATGGACACTTTCTTAGGAGAGACCTCAAGACCAAATTAGAGAAAATAACAACAGTGTACAAAAAGTATTTGACAAAGAGGCAGAAAAAAATCATTTGACAAAGTCCAACATCCTTTCATGATAATAATAATAAAAAAACCCTCAACAAACTAGGAATAGAAGGGAAATTCCTCAAGCTGATAGGAGTATCTAGAAAACATCCACAGCTAACATCATAATTAGTGGTGAATAACTGAAAGCTTCCTCCCAAAGAACAAGACAAATATGTACTGGAAGTTCTAGCCAGGTCAATTAGCAGAAAAAAGAAATAAATAGCATCCAGATTGGAAAGGAAGGAATAAAACTATTTCTATTCACAGATGAAGTGATCTTATATATAGAAAACCCTGTAAAAAAAAAAAAAACCAAACTAATAAACAAGTTCATCAAAGTTGCAGGATACAAGATCAATATATAAAAATCAGTGTAGTGTTCATTGTGCACTAGCAATGAATAATCCAAAAATGTTATTATAAAAACAATCTCATGAACAATAGCATCAAAGATAGTAAAATAGAAGTAAATTTAATAAGAAGAGCAAGACTTGTACATTGACAACTACAGAACATTTTTTAAATAAATTGAAGAACTAAATAAATGGAAAGGCATCCCATGTTTGTGGATTAGAAGACTTAATATTGTTAAGGTAACAATAATTCCCTAATTGTTTTACAGATTCAATGTAATCCCTATCGAAATTTCAACTGCCTTCTTTGGAGAAATGGACAATCTGAACCTAAAATTTATATGGAAATAAAAGGAAACCAGAATAGCCAATGTCTTGGTAAAAGAAGAATAAATTTGGAGGACTCACACTTCCTGGTTTTAAATCTTAATACAAAGTTACATTAATTAAAACAGTGTGGTATTGACATAAGGATAGACATATAGATGAATATAACAGAATAAAGCATAAAAGAATAAAGGGTCTAGAAATAAACCTGTACATCTATGTTTTTGACAAGGGTATCAAGACCAATTAATGGAAAAAGTAATTGTTTCAAAAAATGGTTTGAGACAACTAGATTTCTGGATGCAAAACAATGAATCTGGACCCCTATCTCACACCATATACAAAAATGAACACAAAATAGGTCAAAGACCTAGTGTAAGAGATAAAACTACAAAACTCTTAGAAAGAAACAGGTGAAAAGCTTGAAGACTTTGAATTAGACAATGGTTTCTTAAGTATGACACCAAGAACACAAGAAGTAACAGAAAAAAAAATAGGTATTTGGACATTATCGAAATGAAAAACTTTTGTGCATCGAAGGATACTATAAAGAAAATAAAAAGGCAGCTCACAGAATGAGAGAAAATATTTGCAAATCATATATGTGATAAGTATCTAGTATCCATAACGTATAGGTAATTCTTACAACTCCACAATAAAAAGACAAACAACCCGATTATAAAATGAGCAAAGGATGTTGTAGGGTAGAATATGACACCCCAAAATATGCCATCTTGGCATAAGAATTGTTTTGAGCTGAAGGCAATTGAAAAGGAGCAGACACAAGAAAAGCCTTCTGCCCTACCCCTATTTGCCTAAACACAGGACATAAATTTACAAAGTGTTCTTCCTCCTTTCTCTACCAAGAAGAATAAAAGTTAATTGTCAGAGACATTTAGATCCTAATCAGCCTGAAGAGGGCACCAGAGGAATCTATATAACAAACTTTACTAACTAGACTGATATACCATTAGTTTCCTGTATACTTGCTACTTTAGTAACTGAAAGACCTTTTCCTTTAATTTGTCACTTCTGTAAAAATTTATTGTTCCTTTCTAAGATGCTATATAAGCCCATGTTCTAATCAATCCTTTGAGTTACTCATCTCTGAGTGTTCCCATGTGTGAAGTGCGATTGCATGGTCACAAACTTCTGATTGTTTTACTCTTGTTCATCTGTCTTTGGTCAGTCCAATTTACAGGGCCCCAGTCAGAGAACCTAGGAAGTTAGTAGAAAAAAATAATTTTTCCTCCCCTGCAATGTAAATAGACATTTCTCTAAAGAAGGTACACAAGTGGCCAATAAGCATATGAAAAGATGCTCAACATTAGTCAATAGGGAAATGCATATCAAAACCACAATGAGATACTGCTTTACAAGCTCACCAGGTATGGTATAATAAATAATAAAATGGAAAATAACAAGTGTTGGAGAGGATGTAGAAAAACTAAAACTCTATGTATTGCTGGTGAGAATGTAAAATGATGCAGCTGCTATGGTAAAGCTTGGCAGCTCCTCAAAAACTTAAACACAGAGT